TACCGTATAAATAGTTCGGGGAGACACGAGAGGATTTCCATTTTGTGTACATATATTAAATAAACATTTTCTATGAATATTATTACATTAACAATTTACTTTACCGTGATGTCGCTTTGACATGTGTTCCTCAATTTGCCATTTCTATAAACTAAATTTCTAAAGAATAAAGACCTCGAAATCACTTGCACTTTTGAAATAGCCCTTCCCGCCAGGAACGGTCTTGCTCCATACCGGCGGTTGGGTGTGTTTAACGAGCTCAAGTCAAAACTTGTATACAGGAAATGATTCACAGTTCGTGGAAAAGCTTGACGCATGCTTCATTATTTCATATCCATATAAGGATTTTTTTGAACGCTTACACGGAGCTTTATATATACCTTAGTCTATCGCTCTTTTGATTGGCATTTACATTGTCTCTCATTAAAGGGACACCACGGTGAAGTGTATAGTTTTTGGTATTTTTTTTCAAATTCAACATAAACATATCAAGTGAGTCTCCTTATGGAAAAAAACGATCCATTGGAGGGTCCCATATAAAAATCAAACTACCCAGTAACGTATATCTTCCTTTCACATCAACTATATGGAAACGCCTAGTTTATTTTATCTGACACATTTACAAAACAACAAAAAAAGTAACACATGTTCCATCATAGACAAACATACTAGACACATTAATTCTTTAAATATATATTGATAACATAAACAACATTTCATTCGATTCCACGTCAGGGTTTTTTAATTTCGTACTGGCTATCCAGAGGAATAAGTGTAACGTTCTAAATGTAGGGCAGATAATAAAACTTCCCACATGCATTGCTCTTGCCATTTGGCAACCCTTCGATTCGTAAATGACGCGGTTACGGTTCAAATCGATCGCTGACACTTCCCACGGCAAGCCGTTAAAATGGTATGTTATCCGTATACGGTATAAGAAAGGAAGCACAAATACCGTATAAATAGTTCGGGGAGACACGAGAGGATTTCCATTTTGTGTACATATATTAAATAAACATTTTCTATGAATATTATTACATTAACAATTTACTTTACCGTGATGTCGCTTTGACATGTGTTCCTCAATTTGCCATTTCTATAAACTAAATTTCTAAAGAATAAAGACCTCGAAATCACTTGCACTTTTGAAATAGCCCTTCCCGCCAGGAACGGTCTTGCTCCATACCGGCGGTTGGGTGTGTTTAACGAGCTCAAGTCAAAACTTGTATACAGGAAATGATTCACAGTTCGTGGAAAAGCTTGACGCATGCTTCATTATTTCATATCCATATAAGGATTTTTTTGAACGCTTACACGGAGCTTTATATATACCTTAGTCTATCGCTCTTTTGATTGGCATTTACATTGTCTCTCATTAAAGGGACACCACGGTGAAGTGTATAGTTTTTGGTATTTTTTTTCAAATTCAACATAAACATATCAAGTGAGTCTCCTTATGGAAAAAAACGATCCATTGGAGGGTCCCATATAAAAATCAAACTACCCAGTAACGTATATCTTCCTTTCACATCAACTATATGGAAACGCCTAGTTTATTTTATCTGACACATTTACAAAACAACAAAAAAAGTAACACATGTTCCATCATAGACAAACATACTAGACACATTAATTCTTTAAATATATATTGATAACATAAACAACATTTCATTCGATTCCACGTCAGGGTTTTTTAATTTCGTACTGGCTATCCAGAGGAATAAGTGTAACGTTCTAAATGTAGGGCAGATAATAAAACTTCCCACATGCATTGCTCTTGCCATTTGGCAACCCTTCGATTCGTAAATGACGCGGTTACGGTTCAAATCGATCGCTGACACTTCCCACGGCAAGCCGTTAAAATGGTATGTTATCCGTATACGGTATAAGAAAGGAAGCACAAATACCGTATAAATAGTTCGGGGAGACACGAGAGGATTTCCATTTTGTGTACATATATTAAATAAACATTTTCTATGAATATTATTACATTAACAATTTACTTTACCGTGATGTCGCTTTGACATGTGTTCCTCAATTTGCCATTTCTATAAACTAAATTTCTAAAGAATAAAGACCTCGAAATCACTTGCACTTTTGAAATAGCCCTTCCCGCCAGGAACGGTCTTGCTCCATACCGGCGGTTGGGTGTGTTTAACGAGCTCAAGTCAAAACTTGTATACAGGAAATGATTCACAGTTCGTGGAAAAGCTTGACGCATGCTTCATTATTTCATATCCATATAAGGATTTTTTTGAACGCTTACACGGAGCTTTATATATACCTTAGTCTATCGCTCTTTTGATTGGCATTTACATTGTCTCTCATTAAAGGGACACCACGGTGAAGTGTATAGTTTTTGGTATTTTTTTTCAAATTCAACATAAACATATCAAGTGAGTCTCCTTATGGAAAAAAACGATCCATTGGAGGGTCCCATATAAAAATCAAACTACCCAGTAACGTATATCTTCCTTTCACATCAACTATATGGAAACGCCTAGTTTATTTTATCTGACACATTTACAAAACAACAAAAAAAGTAACACATGTTCCATCATAGACAAACATACTAGACACATTAATTCTTTAAATATATATTGATAACATAAACAACATTTCATTCGATTCCACGTCAGGGTTTTTTAATTTCGTACTGGCTATCCAGAGGAATAAGTGTAACGTTCTAAATGTAGGGCAGATAATAAAACTTCCCACATGCATTGCTCTTGCCATTTGGCAACCCTTCGATTCGTAAATGACGCGGTTACGGTTCAAATCGATCGCTGACACTTCCCACGGCAAGCCGTTAAAATGGTATGTTATCCGTATACGGTATAAGAAAGGAAGCACAAATACCGTATAAATAGTTCGGGGAGACACGAGAGGATTTCCATTTTGTGTACATATATTAAATAAACATTTTCTATGAATATTATTACATTAACAATTTACTTTACCGTGATGTCGCTTTGACATGTGTTCCTCAATTTGCCATTTCTATAAACTAAATTTCTAAAGAATAAAGACCTCGAAATCACTTGCACTTTTGAAATAGCCCTTCCCGCCAGGAACGGTCTTGCTCCATACCGGCGGTTGGGTGTGTTTAACGAGCTCAAGTCAAAACTTGTATACAGGAAATGATTCACAGTTCGTGGAAAAGCTTGACGCATGCTTCATTATTTCATATCCATATAAGGATTTTTTTGAACGCTTACACGGAGCTTTATATATACCTTAGTCTATCGCTCTTTTGATTGGCATTTACATTGTCTCTCATTAAAGGGACACCACGGTGAAGTGTATAGTTTTTGGTATTTTTTTTCAAATTCAACATAAACATATCAAGTGAGTCTCCTTATGGAAAAAAACGATCCATTGGAGGGTCCCATATAAAAATCAAACTACCCAGTAACGTATATCTTCCTTTCACATCAACTATATGGAAACGCCTAGTTTATTTTATCTGACACATTTACAAAACAACAAAAAAAGTAACACATGTTCCATCATAGACAAACATACTAGACACATTAATTCTTTAAATATATATTGATAACATAAACAACATTTCATTCGATTCCACGTCAGGGTTTTTTAATTTCGTACTGGCTATCCAGAGGAATAAGTGTAACGTTCTAAATGTAGGGCAGATAATAAAACTTCCCACATGCATTGCTCTTGCCATTTGGCAACCCTTCGATTCGTAAATGACGCGGTTACGGTTCAAATCGATCGCTGACACTTCCCACGGCAAGCCGTTAAAATGGTATGTTATCCGTATACGGTATAAGAAAGGAAGCACAAATACCGTATAAATAGTTCGGGGAGACACGAGAGGATTTCCATTTTGTGTACATATATTAAATAAACATTTTCTATGAATATTATTACATTAACAATTTACTTTACCGTGATGTCACTTTGACATGTGTTCCTCAATTTGCCATTTCTATAAACTAAATTTCTAAAGAATAAAAACCTCGAAATCACTTGCACTTTTGAAATAGCCCTTCCCGCCAGGAACGGTCTTGCTCCATACCGGCGGTTGGGTGTGTTTAACGAGCTCAAGTCAAAACTTGTATACAGGAAATGATTCACAGTTCGTGGAAAAGCTTGACGCATGCTTCATTATTTCATATCCATATAAGGATTTTTTTGAACGCTTACACGGAGCTTTATATATACCTTAGTCTATCGCTCTTTTGATTGGCATTTACATTGTCTCTCATTAAAGGGACACCACGGTGAAGTGTATATTTTTTGGTATTTTTTTTCATATTCAACATAAACATATCAAGCGAGTCTCCTTATGGAAAAAAACGATCCATTGGAGGGTCCCATATAAAAATCAAACTACCCAGTAACGTATATCTTCCTTTCACATCAACTATATGGAAACGCCTAGCTTATTTTATCTGACACATTTACAAAACAACAAAAAAAGTAACACATGTTCCATCATAGACAAACATACTAGACACATTAATTCTTTAAATATATATTGATAACATAAACAACATTTCATTCGATTCCACGTCAGGGTTTTTTAATTTCGTACTGGCTATCCAGAGGAATAAGTGTAACGTTCTAAATGTAGGGCAGATAATAAAACTTCCCACATGCATTGCTCTTGCCATTTGGCAACCCTTCGATTTGTAAATGACGCGGTTACAGTTCAAATCGATCGCTGACACTTCCCACGGCAAGCCGTTAAAATGGTATGTTATCCGTATACGGTATAAGAAAGGAAGCACAAATACCGTATAAATAGTTCGGGGAGACACAAGAGGATTTCCATTTTGTGTACATATATTAAATAAACATTTTCTATGAATATTATTATATTAACAATTTACTTTACCGTGATGTCGCTTTGACATGTGTTCCTCAATTTGCCATTTCTATAAACTAAATTTCTAAAGAATAAAGACATCTTTTACTCTTCAAAGCCAATGTGGTTTCAACATATTTCAAATAAGTTTAGTGATCATTTTTACCTTTTTGTTGAGGAAACAACACTAAAATTTTCCAGTCAGACTCGTCATGTTGAACCTCGAAATCACTTGCACTTTTGAAATAGTCCTTCAATTCTTGCGTTAAGGTATTGCTTGGCAAGCCGTGAATCTCAACACAGAAAGGGATGAGCCCTTCCCGCCAAGAACGGTCTTGCTCCATACCGGCGGTTGGGTGTGTTTAACGAGCTCAAGTCAAAACTTATATACAGGAAATGATTCACAGTTCGCGGAAAAGCTTGACGCATGCTTCATTATTTCATATCCATATAAGGAAATGTTTTGGACGGTTAGACGGGGCTTTAAAAACACCTGTATCTACCGCTCTATTGATTGGCATTTACTTTCATTTTTTAATAGTTACATGTACCTGTATTTTCATACTGCGGCCAAAGTATGTATTATGTCAACAGAATGTCGTGCTATATTATAACAAAGGCCTCAAGTTACCAACAACCTTGGCATTTGGTAAACAATGAAATACAAATGTTTGAATAGATGTAATAAGATAATTGTAATAAGAAAGTCAGCACTTATAAACATTCAAACTTGAAAGGGCGTTTATAGACCATGCCTGTGCCTAAATGCTACAAATATCTAATGGACTGTAAGTACTGAAGGAGGCATTAGTCAGATATTTGGACATGGGAAATGTTGAAATGTAAAAGGTGAAATTAAGCAATTATAGATGCCAACACGATTATTGATATACATTCAAGAGCAAGTACTTAGTTTTAAACTTAGAACCATTATCCATTAAAGTTAACCGCTTATCAAACACTGGAACTTCAAATAATTTTCAACTGGAACTGTGGCCAGGAGGACTAATTCCCACTCTGGCCCAAAAACAGTTATCAAAATTGCACAACTTCCGTGTACATGTGTGCTGAGTACAAAATGTTTGAGAAGTTTGCATGAAAACTGTTGGCAGAGTTGTTATAGGAAAGGGGCATAACTGCCATAAAAATGGTTGAATAAAAAACATAAGTGCAGCTGCACAACTTCAGTGTATGCTCACTACATCAGTGAAGTTTCGAAATGTTTGGGTGAAAACTGTAGTTATTGGGTCAAAGTCCTGACAGACAGACGGGCAACCTAATTCCAGTATAACCCCTCCCCTAACTTGTTGCGGGGGTATAATGACTATGATGCTGTATGTTACTCTTTGGTGAAAGGCAGTGCATGTCGACTTCTGACCACATGATGTTTGAAAAAGATTTTGCGTTGGTAGATTATTTTTGTCGTCGACCAATCTCAAATAAAATTGCACTGTATAGCTTAAGTGTACCCCAGGTTTTTTTCAGTTGCAAAGGCACAGGTATCAAAATGGTATGCAGCAAGGTATGTGCCATCAAAATGTGTTTAGTAGGTATTTATCAGTTTATGATGGCTTTCATATAACAAAGGAAAGGAAAACCAAGTATACATTAATGAGGACATTTATTACAATCAGAATTTCATCCATTACACAAACAATGTATCAGTTTCTTTAACTAACATTAGTTGTTATGCGAATTATTTTTCATTTAGTGAAACGGTTGTCCTCATCCGTAACCACTATCTTGGCTCCCTTCCAACAGTATTTTTTTATAATTTGATAAATGTTTAAAAATCTATGTACGGGAATATTGTATAAAGATTTTAAAGTCAATATTCTTACTGTAATTGAAAACAGTGTAAACTGAAATGTAAACAAAATTATCAGGATATTTGAATAAGTTAGTATTTCTTATATGAACGAAGCGCTACAAAAGTTGTCTCCCTAGCATTTTCAGTAACGGAAATTACCACCAGACGTCTCAAAGTTTGTACTTCAGCTGGAAAGAAATTACTGACGTCGCGTTCGATAGGTGATCTCCATACGGCAGACGTTAAAAACGCTTCAGTGAAAATTGATTTGAAATGAAAATACACATCAAAGCTAAAAATACAATACAAAACATACGAGATTAAAGAAGGTGTCGCATCTGTTTCACTTTAACTAGGTTCATACATTTCATAGCCACAATGACCTGGAAAAGGTCTTTTTTTCCACGTTGACAGTTTAAGGTTCAACAGACCCCTTAAAGATGCTATAGTCACCTAAAAGTGTAACCCCCTGATGAGTCATGTTCAAAGACCTCAATTAAAAATCGGAACTTATATATGTTATTTGTATATATTGAACTTGCACATGTATTGGATATACAAAAAATACATAGCCAGGTTAACCAAGTCAAAAATTAGACGTTAAGGCTGATGTTTTCATAAAAAATAGTTCACTGGACTTATAACATGTCAATCTCTTTTGCGATCCAACTGATTGCTGAGAAATGAGTCATATTTAAAGTTTATTTATATACCTAGGTCATGCGGATCTTTATTTCTCTTCTACTAGCTGTTGAGAGGAATTCCGACCTCAAATAAAGATAGATGTTGTCATGCGAGACCACTAAAATCATAGTAAAATCCCTGGTAATACATTTAAGCAGTTTATAAAAAAAAAAAGGCTAAGTAACTTTGATCGATAAATGAACTTTAGATGCTGTGCCATTTGATAACATTATGTGATTATATGAATGCGCTAGAAATGTTATAAACATTGAAGCTGAAAAGTACAAAGATGTTTATAACAAGTCTAGCTCTTTTATAAAAACATTGAATATTAAGAAAGGACATTTTGTTAAGCAACAACCATCTTCTTGTGAGGCCGGTACTCTCCACACATAGTTAGAGAGAAATAAAGGCCCGCATGACCTGGGTATATAAATGATCTTCAAATAATGTTATTTCGTAACATTCAGTTCGGTCGCTTAAGAGATTGACATGTTATAAATCTGGTCAGCAACTTTTATCATTACATCAGCCTTAATGCCGTATTTTGACTTCGTTAACGTGGTTATGTACCTTTTAAATAGCTCATGTTCAAATGCAATATATACAAATTACATATATATTCTCCGATTTTTGATAAGGGTATTTGAATATGATTTGCCAGGGAGTCGAAATTTAGGGTGACTATTACATCTTTTAGGGGACTTTTTGAACCTTAAATGTCAGCCATATTTGTACATCTGTAACATGTCATTTTGAAGTTCTTCTTAAACCCTATTTTCTCCCATTTCTTTTCCATTCCCTAAAGCGATTTACAGTCTAATGAACTTTTGCTTGGTACTGCAGGATCTACTGGCACTACATTTTCCTGTCAGTGGAACTGCAAATCTTGTACCAGTAGCTGAAACAATGACCGACAAAAATCAATGCAAAATGATCCCTATAAACGCACTGTATTACTAATGAAATAAACAGGTATTACATAGATATAGTAGTTACTCGTGTTTTGACCAATTTCATAATTGAATACATTTTCGGAATGAAGCGCAAGTTCTAAGAACGTTTTTCCACGAGGTTCTAATTGTGTCGGATAATTAGGAAGCTCCTATATAAGGTCGGCGTTGAAACCCAAAATCCGCTAACTTCTCGAGTTAATCGTCACCCTTCGAAGAAGCTACATATGTTTTTTGTATATTTAAACAATATAGCCTCTACCTTAACTGAGTACTAGTGTGCCGTCAGTTTAATCGGTGTTTTTTTTTTTACTTTGCGTTGGTTAAAAACACACGTATCTATTTGTTATTTGGATATAATATTATGATCAAATATTGAAAACAAAGGTAATTCTGTGATGGCGGCTTTCAAAGCATCAAAAGTATCATTAGTGGTAACAAAGAGTGGAGGAGTATATTCCATTGTGTTATAGTTCTAGGATAGAGTGTTGATAGCAATCTCTGGACTTTTGGTTGTGTATAAAACCATATGGATTGTGATGGTTGAGCGAGAACGGGGTCGACCGGGATTAGGAGAGAGAGATATTATGTTTTACCAAGAAATCATCATTCAAGACGGCTGCATTTTTCAGGGCAATACAATGTTCTGTCCCTAAGCGTAAAAGCCAATCAGAAAACGAAGTTTAGCATACTGAGGCACCCTAAGAGCTTAAATGGAAAAAACAATATTTTGCTAATGAATGAACTGGCAATTGATTTCCAAAATTCGCAGGAAAATTATCTTCTCCAAAATGTTAAGCATGAGATACTGAATCAACTTCTATTTGTTTATTGTTTAGTTTAAATCAACACGCAAATGTAGTATGATATGTTAGTGGTACAAAAAGCGAACACTTAGTTCAAAACTCTAAATTTGATACGCGGAATGGTACAATACGACATGATGAATTTTAGAAATAAAAAGAAATGATCGCTGCATTCACTGCAACATTTACATTATTACAATCATCAGCCAACATCATCTGTCACTGGTGACACTTCTGTGTTACATTTGTAGCTTAACGAGACGTTTTTAGGCCACACATTACTGCCGTTTGAATATGGTGGCTTTACTACCAAAACATTGCAAGTGGCAGTGCATAATGATATACATTACGACACAAGGGAAGTAACTTCTATATTTTCTCGATATACACTGTGTTAAACAGTACGGAAAAAATTGGAATTCCCGTTAGTCGTCGATTTCACGTCGAGAAAGTGTACGATGTTCGAAATGCAAATGACGAGTCGTATCGTCCATTATGTAAGCAAATGCAACGTCCGATGGACATCTCTTTAAGTGTATCTAGAGCAAATGTGGGTTTTTTGCTTCGCTAATGTATGTTTTGGATCGTTAATGAATGTCTTACTCGGATGGACTAAATAGTTGTTCATAAACACAGCATAATGAACTCAATATTTAATACACTCGTTAAAAAAATATAATATTATATGTCGTCATTTGTTATTTTAATAAATGGCATATTTCAACTTCAGTCAGTGTATGCTTTTCTATGATATCTACGTTAACCCAGGTTACAAACGTAGCACATCCTTCGACCGATGCAGCGCTAAATAATAAATATTTACATTTGCCCCCGCGCCGTCCCATTACAACAGTGTTAGAGGGCTAGTGTAATTATATAGGCTATAATTACAACTGCTCGACTATAATTACAACTGCCTGTTTCAGGTGTAGGAATATGTAAACAAACAAAATGGCCGCCTGAAATGTATTTAGAGGCAGGGCAAATGGTTTTTGTAGGAATATGTCTTAAAAAAGAAAAATATGTAAATATAAAAAATACCTGGCGGGTTTTATGGGATTTGCCAGAGGCCACTTGTAATTATATCAACAATAATTACATC